GGTCATGCTAGGATGAGGTATCCACACCCTTATAAGGAGTGCTTAGTTCTCCTCACCAACCGATGTGGGACGGGATGTTACAGGTTGATGACCCATATATCAGATATAATATTTGAATTGTAATTAGAGAGGTGTGTCAAACCGTGATAGTATTAACATCAAGACGACAGATAAATAATTATCTCATGTTGTCAAATTATCATCATTTGTTTCACTTTTATATTTGCACTATAATTTTTACCATTTAGTTGATTTCTTATACACCTTACTTTGTTCAAAATTTTTAACTCTTCATCAACGTGGGACAACTAAAACTCAACAACAATTCACCATTTGAGAATACGCAATTCTCATTATGTCACCTCAATACCCAAGGTTTTCTTTTATATATATAAAGATATTTTTTTTCTTTCTATTTGGTTGGTTTTAATCCCAACCATGGTTATAGATTTCAAAGAGGTCATCCAAAGTAAGACAACCCTAAAAGACAAACCTCATTAATCGACACAAAGGCACCATTCCATCTTTTTATACACTCACTTTGTTCAAATCGTTCAACTCTTCACCAATGTTGGACAACTAAAATCAACCACAATTCACCATTTGAGAAAACTCAATTCTCATTGTACCACCTTAATACCCCCAAGGTTTTACTTTTATAATTCTCATGGTGCCACCTCATGACCCGAAGGTTTTACTTATATATATATATATATATATAGGGTATATTCCTTTTACAACTTTGTGCATTTGTACAACCTTTGCAACCCAATTAATTGAGATATTTATAGAAATGATTGGAGTTCATTTATTATGATTTGAATATTTATGGAATATGAATAAAGTTTATTAATTATGATTAATACTTTATATTAGGAAACAATTAATTGATTAAAAATTGAATGGTTGAGATGAGAGTTGTATAGGGTGTAGGAATGACAAAGGATGTAGAATAACATCCCTATATATATATATATATAAAGATATAATAATATAATATAATTAATTTTGCACTATAATTTTTATCATTTGGTTGGTTTGGTTTCTAACCATGGTTATAGATTTCAAAGAGAATCTTTAAAAATAAAGCAAACTTATAAGGCAAACTCATTATTTGACACAAAGACATCCAATCCACTTTCTTATACACTTCATTCTGTTCAAATCTTTCAATTATTCACCAATGTGGGACAACTAAAATTCAAGTACAATCCACCATTTGAGAATACTCAATTTTAATTGTCTCACCTCAATATCCTAATAAGATAACTTTATGACTCGTTGAGCTAACACAATATAAGATTTGTTTTGCAAAAATAAGGTCATCCAAATAAGATAACCTTATGATTCAAACCTCATGAGTTGACACAATAAGTCTCGTTCTTTTTTCTTATACACACCTTCTTATTCCAATCTTTCAATCTCTCACCAATGTGGGATATCTCAAACTCAACCATAATTCACCAACACTTTAATACTCAATTCTCATGATGCCACCTAAATACTCTTGGTTCTTCCTTTATATATATATATATATATATATATATATATATATATATACTATATATGAAGATATAATAATATAATATTATTAATTTTGCACTATGAATTCTACCATTTGGTTTGATTGGTTTCCAACCATGGTTATAGATTTCAAAAGGGTCATCCAAAGAAAGACAACCCTATGAGGCAAACCTCATATTTGACACAAAAACATCCAATTCATCTTTCTTATACACTTCATTTTGTTTAAAATTTCCAACTCTTCACCAATATGGGATATCTCAAATTCAACCACAATTCACCAACATCTCAATACTCAATTCTCATGATGTCATCTCAATACTCTTGGTTCTTCCTTTAATACATATATAGATTGGTTTTCAACCATGGTTATAGATTTCAAAAGGGTCATCTAAAGAAAGACAACTCTACGAGGCAAACCTCATATTTGACACAAAGACATCCAATTCACCTTTCTTATACACTTCATTTTGTTTAAAATTTTCAACTCTTCACCAATGTGGGATATCCCAAACTCAACCACAATTCACCAACACTTCAATACTCAATTCTCATGATGTCACCTCAATACTCTTGGTTCTTCCTTTAATATATATATATATATATATATATATATATATATATATTCTCTAATCATATGGGCCGTTTAACTAAATGTTTACCTAGTAAATGATTACCGATATGATTCAATATTATAACTTATTTTAATACGTAAGATTTTAGTACATCAAAACATATCGAATGCAACAAGTTACTGGTAAGTGTTTACCTGGGTAAGAGTCGTCATCCTTACTTACCGGGTAAGACTCTCTATCCTTTTCAAAGACCTTCCAGCCTAGTGGTAAAGGCTTGGGCATGACATAGTCATGAACCCGAGTTCGAGCCCTGGGAGGGGAGTGTTGACGACGTTTAAGTGGGGCCATGTTTAGCCTTCAAATTTGCCGGGGATTAGTCGGGCTTTGGCCCGGACACCCTTACAAAAAAAAAAAAAAAGATTCTTGGCCTTTTCATGTTCATCATATAAGGAAATTTATCCAGTAAGTACTTACCACGTAAATGTTTAGTAAACGGCTCCATAGTAACTTAATTATTCATGTTTGATGATTTTAACCGTGATATCGAAATTATAACCAATTTACCAAAATACTTATGATTGATTATTTCTTTTGAAATCATAATAATCAATTATGCATATATTTAGATATATTTTGTTTCCGGTGAGAATAAAAATTATAATATAAAGGATAAGAAAAGATCTTCATCTTTTGTATTAATCTTAATTGAAGATCAACAATGAGATGTGTCGAGATGCACATGATCAATTCCCGTGAAAAGTGCAATTCACATGATGGATGTGAGATTAAAAATGATCAAAAGTCTAGAGTTTAGATCTCTTATTACATTTCTTACCTTAACTCTTATTCTTATACAAAACTTCGTTAATTTAAATAATCCTTAAAATATTAACACGGTAAAAATATAAATTTATATTTAGAAAAAAGAAGAAGATATAAACTAGTTATAAATATTCATTTATTTTTCAGCAGTAAAACCGAAAACGTTACTTTACTGTATAGGCGGTGGTTTTTAATTAATTTAATTTTCTTTTCAGTTACTTTATTGAAAGATTTCATTTTCGCTTTTTAGAAGGAAGAAAATGAACTTCTGGAAATAGTTCAGGGACCATTCATGTAAATTATCCGAATTATTTTATTTTTCATTCCGAATTGTTTATTATGGTTTTGTTTGTTTTCAAAAAATACCTTTTAAGTTTGATTTAACAAGAACTTGGGCTTTTAAAGTGTGTTTGTTATTTTATTAATTAATAAGAGTCGAAAAAAGTTTTATTGTTATTTGGATAATTGGATCCATAATTTAATTACAGATTTTATACATTTATCAGTTTATAAAAATAATTTTATTTATTTATTCTGTTTTCAAGATTCGCCGCCAACTCTTATCAATTAAAATTGAAAATAAAACATGTAATTGATATATGGATACAAATGTGAAGATATGATGTCGATATTTATTTATTTTTGTGAAATAATGCATTTACGTTTTAGATGGCAACATCATATAAACATAATGGGATCTGATGCGAGCGTGCCTCTGATTCACACTCCAAATTGAAACGTAAAATGGAATCCTCCTTTTTCCCTCCTTTTAATCCATTCATTCCATTCAATTCCATTCATTCAACCAGTTGTTTAGGTCCCAGATTTCTTCAGCGAATCAACCATGTCTCAGGTACCTACTTCATCTCTATTTTTCTTCCCAGATTTAGGTTATCATCTGATTTTGTTGGTGGGATTATGGTTTCAGAAACAAATTTGAACTCTGAATTGAAACTCCTTTGTGGTTTTGCTTTTTGATCATATTAATTTTATGATTTTCATAAGTTTCTTTTTATTTTGAGTTTGGATCTGGTAGGGTTTTTTTACGATGAAGAACGGATCAAAAGGGAAAACTTAACCAGTTCTTAATTGAAAAACTCAAATTATATGCTTTTGAAGGCATCGTAATCAATCTTAAAAACTTTTTGAGCTTATCTTTCATTAATTATATATATATATATATATATATATATATAGACTATATATTTCTATGATTGATGAACTTACAAATGAAATGATGTGGGTGGCAAATTAGACTGTTGTGCTGAAGGTCGGCATGTCATGTGGAGGCTGTGTTGGTGCCGTGAAGAAGGTTCTTGGCAACATGGAAGGTTTGTAATATTCTAGCACAATCTATGTCTGTCTACCCTTCGTTTGAAGGGTTAGTTGTGTTTAAGCTAGACTTGACCATTTTTTAACCATGGTTCCACATATTTTTACAGTTTTTTTTTACCATGTGGAACTAAAAAGTATATATGGCATTGCACTTTGAGTGGAGGAATCACTTTTGGTCGAAAATGCTCATATGAATATGATACCATTAACTGAGAATCGTATCCTTTTATGGAAGACAATAATTATGAGTTGGGTGCACCACAAATTTTGTTCCTTCTTTATCGGAATCACTTTTCTAATTTCAGAAGGAATGCTAATTAAGCTAACCTTTAACCTTTAAGCCTTTTGATCTTGAACATATAACCATTGTGTAGGAGTGGAAACTTTCGACATTGATCTCGAGCAAAAAAAGGTAACGGTGAAAGGAAACGTACAGCCAGACGCAGTTTTGCAGACCGTTTCCAAGACCGGAAAGAAGACCGAGTTTTGGCCAACAGAAGCACCATCATGTTGTGGAAGCAAAAAGTCAGCCGAACCTGTAGCTGCACCGTCTTGTGAAGCAGGAAAGCCAGCGGATCCTGTGGCTGCGGCACCACCTTGTGAAACCGGAAAGCCGGTCGATCCTGTGGCTGCAGTACCATCTTGTGAAACCGGAAAGCCGGTGGAGCCTGTGGCTGCACCATCTTGTGAAGCGGGAAAACCGGTGGAACAAGGTGCTCCACCGTGTTCTGAAGCGGGAAAACCAGTGGAAGCTGTGGCTGCACCATCTTCGGAGACCGAGAAGCCGGTGGAACCTGTTGTTGGTTGATCTTTAATTAAGGGTTTGGATCGAAAGGTTGTCTTATTATGTCAGTTGGTGTGGTGGTTGTTTATGCAAGTTTGGAACTTCTTTGGGATTGTAAAATTAAGCGTTTGGAATAAATCTTGGAACTACAATAAATATAAAACAATTGTCTTAAAAATTAAAGAGTATAATTAGAACAAAAATCATATAATATTATTGATATGAAATGTTAATTGAAGAAAAGGGGTTTCTAAAAAGGGGTTTTTAAAAAGGGGGTTTTTGGGGCTTTCAATCGGCTAAATTTATACTATAATTTCTTCTAGTTGAAGTGGTGTCGCGCATCCTTGGGTGTGTTTTGGTTGATGTTTTGAGCTAGTGGTCTTCGATTTTCTTTCTGTTGTTCTAGAGATTTGAGAATCCATTTTCAGCTTCAGATCTGGTCTTGTTTTGTTGGTGACAAGCTCGTGTGTTTAGATACAGTTGCTTCACAAGGTCTCAAGAGCTTGAGTTTTTCTTCTCTTTTTGGATGCACTACAAAAATGCAGAGTATCAGCAAGGGAAATTTCTCTCGCAAATCCGTCACTAAAATGGTCATTCGTGTCGATACTCCGTCGGTCAACTGCTCGTAGGTAATGCAATCAGCAAACGATGTCAGCGACGGATTTGCGAGAGATACTTTCAGCGACGGATTTGCGAGAGATACTTTCAGCGACGGATTTGCGAGGGATACTTTTAGCGATGGATCAGCGAGGGAATAGCTTCAGCGACGGATCAGCGAGGGAACTTTCAGCGAGGGATCTTTCAAGGACTTTCAGTGACAGATTTCCCTCGCTAATCTGTCGCTAATTTGTATTAATCTAAAAAATAAATTTTTTGAAATGACATAATTCTTGTATATATTTATACAAAACTTGGCCATAATATAACAAACCAAAACTGTAAACAAATTAAAACTAATCAATTCATACGATTTAAAATATCCAATTCATACAATTTACTTCAAACGCATACAATCTCACTACCGGGAGGTGATGGAGGGGGGAAACGTATCCTGACTGCCGCATAAACGAAACAAAATGCTCTGATAAGGCGGCATGTTCGGCTAACGCAACAGTTTGTCTGGCGTGTTCGGCCTCCAAATCTGCCCTATTCTTCCGCTCGGTCTGCAATTCCTCTTCTACCCTTGTCAACTTCTTTTCAACTCCGTTACCTGTAAATATTCAATATTCGACAAAATCAGTAATTTGTTCGCAATTTTAGTAATGAGAAAGTTTATAACAATATAACCAACATACCTCCGCTTTTGACTCGTATGATAACTCGCTACTGCTATATCTACCCGTCATAGCATAAGAGGGATCCTGAGTGGTCCCGAGACCAAAGATGTGGTCTTTCCTCCGTCCTTCGACACTCTACTCCCAAAGAGATGCCTCATCAGGGGAAGGGTTGTGGGCACTAGACTGGGACTCACCCCTATGGTTCACCAAAATAAAAACGGGTGAGTTTATATATGTATAAATTTCAACAGCATAACAGCTGTAAATCAAACATAACCAATGTCTGTTTTAACAATTAAAACATTCTAATAATACCAATGGTAGTCACATTCTCAACCTATCTACTTAGCCTAACGTCTGTCCAACAATGGCAACCCAAACTAATAGCATCACTATGTTTATTAAAATATATTACATTAAACCTACCAAACGTATCTATTAACCAAAGTAATGGTTTTAGAAAACTTACATGATACCTAGCAGCTTTGGGATAACTGAACTGAGGAGGATCGGTAGGCGGGTCGGACGAACCTTGATCGAACTTCTGGTTCGTGCAGTAAGTGCGCTCAAACACCTCAGTAGCAGTTGGCTCACGACTCATTACTTTTGCCTACATTAGACAATTAGGTTAAGTTGTTAGTAAACATAAAGAACGAATTACATTTTCAAAAAAAAATTATTTATTCACCATTATGTCTCGATGTTGTGCAGTACTGTTCGATCTCCCAGTGTGTTTGGATGACACCCCCTTCAAACTGTGTGTTCCGATTAGCCCAATTGATCCAGGATTTCCTTTTCCAAGGCTCGGTATCCCAAACCTATGATGCTAGAACGAACGGGTCATCAGATCAAAGTCTAGACTTATATTTAATATCTACCAAATTGTGTTTAGGATCAACTCTAACCCCGAGGCAGTATCAAACCAAGTGCATTTGAACATGACAACCATCTGTCGCACTGAGCCATAATTAATTAAATTTGTAGTTATTAAATAAAAAAATCAGCACAGGATCTGGCCAAAAACAGATTTTCTCACTAATCAGCGAAGGATCAGCGTGTGAATCTGTTTTTGGTCAATCCGTCGTTGATCCCTCGCTGATCTACGAGAGATTTTTTCCCTCGCAGATATCTTGTTTTCGTTAATAAATATATGGGTCTTTTTTTTTCTCTTGGTTCTTCGAGTTTGGTTTTTGTTGTGCATCTTTTTTTTGGTATGTAAGTTTGTTGTCTTTAATAAAAATGTCTTTTAATCAGCTAAAAAATCAAATTTGTGGTTCTCAAACATGATAAAAATTGGTTTTGTTAAATTCTCAACTTTAATCTATATTTATCAATTATATGAATATACAGAAATTTGATTTAAATTTAATTTGTATAACAATATGATGTTTTTAATTTTAGAGTAAATTACGTTTTTCATTCCTGTGGCTTGTTACAAATTTTGGATTTTGTTCTTGTGGTTTCTGAATTGCAATTTTAATTCTTATGGTTTGTAATTTATTTATATTTTCATCCCTGAGATTAAACGCTACTTTTAAATACGAGAGACAAAAATAGAAATAAATTGTGAACCATGGGACGAAAAAACAATAAAGTTTTAATCACGAGGACAAAAATGGAAGTGAATTAAAAACTATGAGGAGAAAAATCGTAATTTTATAACCGTAAGGACAGAAATAAAAATTACAATAAACCACAAGGACTAAAGACGTAATTTAAAATTTTATTGGGTATGATATGAATGAAAACATGATTAGTTGAGCTTGACTCTAAAGGTTAAAAGTATCGGCTATCTGCAAAGCAGGTGGTTGCCATGGAATTAGTCGACTCGCATAGCAGGTTGGATATCCAGGTTAATAATAATAAATTTTTTTTTTGGCAAAGACGAAGATAGCAATTACTAAATTTCATCACTGATAAGTGCAACACTTATGAACTCGTACACGAGACACTTGTCCTTTTTACAAGTAAAATATTCGTAACAAATACAAAATTTCTTAGTATCTTGTAACTAATAATAGTCTATATGATCTTCAGAACGATCATTTTGTGCACCAAAATCACGAAAAGATACGGGTTTTGGCACATAAGGCGGTGAAGCCCCACGTAAAAGTGCCCAATTTACCTCATCGAAGAACGGATGGTGCTTGATCGATGGTGCACCCTTCATGGACCCCATTCGCTTTGCGGGCTCTTTGATCAGTAGCTTCGTGATCAAATCCTTCATAGCCGTCGATGATACTGGTTCTGTAGGAAATTGAAGCCCTCGAGCCAAAATGCTCGTCAGCGTGAATTCATTATCATCTCCCCTAAATGGTGTCACCCCATAAAACAGCTCGTAAACAAATATCCCTAAAGTCCACCAATCTACTGCATTCCCATGTCCTTCGCCGGAGACAACCTCCGGTGCCAAATACTCGTGGGTACCGACAAAGGACATTGACCGAGCCTCAATTGGTTCAGCCATTATGTCGAAGGTTCGGTGGGTATTGGACCGTGGTATTCGTTTCCGTTTGGGACGGAAGCAGGAGAGTTTTGGCATGGCGAATCTGGGAATGATGCATGTGGACCGTGAACCGTTGATGCATAAGGTTGATGGGCTGGTTATGCTCAGGTCTTGACCATGAACGAGTTTAGGGCTCGTGGAATCGTCGCATTTTAGGCATAAATCGAAGTCGGTGAGCATTATGTGACCATCTGATCTTACGAGAACGTTTTCGGGCTTTAGATCTCGATAGATTATGCCCATCATGTGAAGGTATTCTAGGGCAACCACCACTTCTGATGCATAAAACCTGCATGATTGATCATATTTTAGAAAAATATTGAATTTGAACGTAAAATTTGATGATAGACACGTAAACGGAATTGTTTTTATAGATCGTATTTTATAGATCGTTTTTATAGCGAGAGTGACAACTCTTACCCTATAAGCGTCTATTGGGTAAATTGTTGTATATGTTACCAGTTTGATAGACTACAATCTTACTTGGTAAAATAAGTTAGCCCGATGTATTAAGGGTAAACATTTACCGGAAAACGTTTAGGTAAACTGTGCCATAGTTGGTTTTATTGGGGTTTTAAGTGAGAGATGATTGAGAAGAGAAAAATGTTGATCTATACTCACCGGACGGCGGCTTCATCAAACCTCCTCTCCGGTTGTCGTTGACGGAGAATATGCAGATCGCCGCCGGGACAGAATTCCGTCAACAAGCAAGAAAACCGATCAACTTCCAAGCTGGCATAAAGTGATGGCAGAAATGGGTGATCCAACATTTGCAGGATTTCCAATTCTATCTTTGCTCTACTCTCTTTATCTCGTTTCATCAACTCTTCTTTATCCATCACCTTGGCCGCCATCATGAATCCCTCTGCGCACTTTAACTCCACCAAGTACACACTTCCGATATCCCCACTGCCTAGCCTTTGTACGAATCTCAGTTCATCAAGGCTGAGTGTGGCGGCACTAGCCTTGACCAACCGGCGTATGGCGTCCTTGGTGGTGGTGGTGGTGGGTGGTGGAGCATGGTGGGATAATGAGAAGGAGCGGTTTAAGTTGGCGGTGGCCCATGTCGGAGATTCGCTTCTTGAGCTTGAACTATGCTTCAACCGATCGGTGGTGGTGGAGGAACCAAGGCTACGAGCACTAGGGCTGTTGTCATCGGTAGCCGTATGCATGGTGGCGGAACGGCAAACCACGGTGGTGTGGGGTGGGTTTGAGGTTGTTATGAAGTGGAAGAAAGTGGAATTTATGAAGGGTGGTGGTGAGATGGACGTCGGCCGGCAGACGAGGGCTATGTCAATAGGGCCGGCTGTTTACAAGGACGCGAAGGACCCATTGATTCCCCAAAGAGCTGGATTCGGTTGTATTATTAAATTTAAGATTAAACTTCATTTTTGGCCCCTGTTCGTTTTCAATTTTCTTAGTTTTGGTCTTAGAATTTATTTATTACAAATTCGTTATGGTTTGTTTTTTTTTTTTTTCATTTTGGTCCCTCTGTCTAACACCATTAGCAAATCTCCTATTAACTCATGGCATTTTTTGTCTTTTTATTTTCTATCGTTCTTTTTAGAAAATTATAAATTAAACTGCAACATTTTACAACAGATACATTTGTAGGGGGGTTCTTGCAAAATATTTAATTTTTCGCATGATTTTGTAAGAGCCTTGATTATTTGAGAACTTCATATGGTTTTTGATAACGGTGATAACTTTTATTTTAAGGTATTGTTTTACATGATTTTTTCTTATCTAAGACTATCATTGAATGTATGGATGAACATATATTTTTTATAATATGTTTGTTTCATATGTAAACGGTTTACAATGTAATATTTTTTTACGTGTAACTTTTGTTTCACATACAAGTTGGAAATGTTCATATTGTGAAACAAACACATTGAAAAACAAATATATGTTAATCAATAATTTAAATCTTAGTCTTAGATAAAAAAAAAATCAATATGAAATAACATATGATGTACTAGTTCACAAAGTTATCATAATTTCATGTGTTCTCAAAAGAATATCCCCGTTCAAATGATAACTTGGTAACCATGAAATCCAATGTGAACCACTCGTTTGAGATATTTAAGAATATTTTTTAAATAAACTAAAATGGTAATATAGTAATTCTATTTTTGACAACTAATCAAAATATATTTTTTTTTTCGAATGAAATATTTAATTAAAATTAGTTACCTAATATACATCGTATTTTAAAGACGTTTGTAAATCAAAGTCTATCATCGTGATAATATTCACAATGTTTCACGTGTATTACAATGTATTTTCTTTGGTTTATGAAATTTATCATAGTGTGCATTTTCGTTATTTTTATTATTTTACAAAGCATATTACATTGTGCATCTTGTATGTATATATGAGTATCACAGTGAATATCGTTTGTACTTTGTAGGTATCACAGTGTGTATCTTGTGTTTACATAAAATTCATCGGAATAAGGTTCATCGAATAAGATTCGCCGGAGAGAGGAAATATAAGAGATGAGTGATGATATTTATAAAAATTCTAAAATGTTCTTAATTAATATTTTAAGTTAAAATTACCAAAATTATTAATTTTTCTAATTTAAACTTTGATTTGTAGTTGAGATTTAATCTCACGACTACCACAAACAAAACAGTTCTCAATTGATTAGGCATATATATATATATATATATAAAGAACATAATGTTATATGAATTAACTCAGTTAACCGAATTCGTTAGGATGAGGGACCAAAACCAAACAAAACCGCAAACTTCGATCACAAGCTTAATAAACAAAAGTTAAGGACCGAAACCAAGAAAACCAGAAAAAATCAAGGGCCAAAAATGAAGTTTACTCTAAATCTAAAGTACTATTCTATCCCGAGCTAAGATGACTTGTACATTACGCATTAAATTTTGTAAATTGCCATGCATCTAAATTTGTTCATTTCCCTTTTTCTATAGTTTTGTTGTCTCATGTTTTACGAACGTTGTGTTTGTTTTCTCTTAATGGTTCCTCATTGAATAGTAATTATTACTTAACATAATATTAAATTCAATCATTAATTCACATTCAATTATTTTATTTCAAATATATATACTATATTATAAATCATTTGACAAAAACTCTTAAAAAAATCATATTTTATGCATTAAATACTGCTTATTGATATATATTACTTAAAATTCAAGATTACAAGTAATTTTGCATAAGTACAAATTATTAAAACTTCATTTTTAAATTCGTGTAACTAACTGCAAATAAATATAATCAAATACATGATAAACATTCATTTTAAATATAGAAAATCTAAATTATAATTAGGATAATCATTGCATTCTAACAGAATTATTATTTTTGTAAAAATTTTATTGTTAAGACAAAAATAAATTGCTTCACTATTTGACCTAAATTAAATTATTATAAGAAAAAATTGAATTAAAGAAATTATACAAAAAATGAGAACTTTTTAATTGTTAATTTGATATTAATATCGATATATTTTTTTCAAAATTTTATGGTGTCTTCAAATTTATTTATATTCTAAAGTAAAAACATTATCTTTCTTAAAACTACATAAATCGTATTATATCAACAAAAAAAAAAACGAAACATTAAAATAAAAATGTATATCGCTGCATTGCGCGAGTACCCTTCTAGTATAATAAAACATATAACAAAATCCACATATATTTTTGTTAGATAAAAACATTGATTTTGAAAAATATATTAAACTTTGATTTTGAATTTTTTTACATATTTATATAATAAATATCAAAACCAGTAAAATAAAAACCAGTTTTATCGTAAAATAATAAAAATCTTGAACATCTGTATTTATGTATTATTATTGTATCTTAGGATAATATGAACTTGAATAATGGACCATATACATAGTAGCTCTTAATAATACCAATCACCTTCAATACTATTTAATGATCATTGATGTAGCTTGTTGAATTTATTTTCATTAAGAAAAACACAATAAATAACCATATATATAATAATA